CTCAGCATCTCTCACCACTGGCTGTATTGACCCCAATGTGGAGGAGTTGTAATATCCAGAGGGCCACATGTGGTACAATACGGAGGTAAAACAAATTCAGTTTGCTCACCATATATAAACAGCTGGCCTCTAGCAATATTCCGTCCCCGAATATTTTCAGTGATACATTCATAAGATGCTTCATCCTCTTGCTGAAAATCTGGGATTTCCAGGGTTCCTTTGGAAGTTTTTATTTTTTTCACAAATGGGCTACCATCTGATCTTCTCCAGCTGATACTGGGAACTGGACTAAATTAATATAGGTTGTTAGAAAATGGAGCTCAGAGATAATTTCTGAATAAATAAACGAGATACAGAACATTCAGATAATGCAGTGGTGGGCCTCAGTTTTATATGGTTGGTGGTTCCTCCCATCCAAACTGCACCATCAGATTTTGGCAGCAAATGAAGAATTCCCTTTTAAAACAAGGAAGAAATGGAAACTAGAGATGGGTATAAATTTCCAGTTTGGCAGTTCGTGCTGGTTCATTTTTTGTCCAAGCAGGTGTTTGGTGCTTCTCTTCAGAGACAGTGCCCAGAGGAGGCAGGGAGGGGAAGCTGAGGGGTTGCCTTTGAGTGGATGCTTGCCAGATGAGGTGGGGCTGAGAAGCACTGTACAATTGTTTGGAGAAAAAACAAACTGGCATAAACTGCTGAACTAGTGGCTTGTGTCCATTTTTAATGGAAACCCTAGAACCCATTGTAAAACAAGTGGTTTTTGTTTTAATACCATTGCTTTCCTTGTGTTCTAACAAAAGTTGGTGGTATGGCCTGGAATGGGGATAATTCCCATGATGGATTCTGGGAGGAAACACCATATAACTTCACCATATATTAACATGATAGTGACTATTAGATATGCAATGGGTTCAGGATATTTGTATTTGTATGTGAATACATATCAGAATACAAATCATCGTCGTTTAGTCGTTTAGTCGTTCGTGACCCCATGGTGTGCTCTGGTCCATGGGGTCACGAAGAGTCGGACATGACTAAACAACTAAACGACGGTGATTTGTATTCTGATATGTATTCATATACAAATACAAATATCCTGAACCCAGTATATCTGTGAAGATTCTCAGTCATCCAAGTGAGGTTATCTGGAAGTTGAATCATGGCTCCTGGACTTCTTTCTTATGAGGTTGAAATGTTTTGCTACTCATCCAAGTAGCTTCTACAGTCTGAGGAGTCTGGTCTGCAGAAGTGGGATTTTCACTCACCCCGTCCCAATCCTTTGGCCATCTAATGAGTCTATTCAGACCAGGGGGAAGTGAAACCAATGTGGCGGATATATCAGGCATCTCCTACCAATTCTCCTCAGACTGAAGAAGCTACTTGGATGAGTAGTGAAACATTTCCACTTAATAAGAAAGAAGTCCAGTTGCCATGACTCAACTTCCAGATCCTGGACCCAGGTGGCTGTGCCAGATCACACAAAAGCCTATTTAGGCCAGCATTGTCTTCCCCACTGACCAATCGGAAGCTTGTATGTAGACTGTGAGTGCAGTAGCATCCTCCAGCTAATATTTCTCCATGACTGATATTTAAAAGGATGCTGCCTCTGAGGGTGAAGGAAACACACAGCCATGATAATTAATAGACACCTATATTTTCTTTGTCTACATGTTTTCCTTTCCCTTTTAATGATCTTGCTTTACATCTTGCCGAAGCAAATTTCACTGCTTGAAGAAGTGCTTCTTTCCGTTTTCCTTCTTTTCCTATGATTCAGCATCACTGAGTGACATTGGGTTTTGATAAGGACATAGAAAGGTATAAACCTATTCACTTTTCCATAGATAAATTTACAATATTATGTTGGCTTCACTTGACTTTGTTCTAGAATGCACCATGCTATGTGTGCATTACTTTTAATGACAAACAAATATTCCACATCTGCTGACTCTGAGGTGACCCATTGAGCCACTATATAAAGTAGGAAAAAATGTTGGTGACTTGGTGAGTTTCATTCTTCTGTACTATGGATCACCATATACTAAAAGTGCATCTGACATTAACGCAACTTGATTTTCTCAAATTTATTTTTTTTTGTTCCCTTTTGTATGTATAATTGGATAGAGGATTTAATAAGGCTAGGGAGAAATGTATTCATTGTTCTGCATGATTCTTTTTTGCTCTAGATTTTGTACTATTTATTGTTCCACATTAGAAAGTCTTTCTAAGGGTTTGTTTACATTTGCTTCACAATAAGTTCCATTCTAAATGGAATAGATTTAGAAATCATGTGAAAGTCACATGGTAATTGGGTCAGTGTGTGTGCCCTCGTGGGAAAATCTTTAATTGATTTTCAAGTGGTGTTATATCTCAGTTGAGGGGACTACACTGGCTTTTTCCTGCACCCACTCACTCTGCCCTCACTGGCCACTCACCCTGCTGCTGTGGTGAGGTGCAGTAGAGAGAGGGTCTGCTAGCAAAGCTGCTCATACCTTTGGAAGGTTTGGCTGCCTCTGTCCCTTTAAAATGCTCTGGCTCAGGTGGGCACACGTGTGTGTGTGTGTGTGTGTGTGTGCGCGCGCGCACGCGCACAGATGGGCAGGTGTGCATGCATGCGGGAGTACAGGCGGGAAGGTGGTAGGTGTGCATGTGTGTGTGCAGGCGTGCATGTGGATGAAAATCTGGAACATATATGTTATGGCCCTCACTCTGAAAAGTTTTTGGGGGGCTGCTCTAGCTCTTCCCATTTACCCCCAACAGAATACAAATGAAGGGTGCCTGGCTCTGCAGTACAGTAAAACAATAATTCAAGACAGAATCCTCTTGTTGCTGCTGCTGTCTCTCTCACTGCCTCTACTGGTTGCCCAAAGACACAATTGGCAGCAAAAGAGTTTTTACACATGTGGAAACAATTGAAATAAAGAAGGGTTTCATATGTGTGCTAAAACTAATATTCAAACTAGGTCATGTATATGCAGCACATTTACTCAAATCTATCACTATGAAGTTACAGTACTTTCCTTTATAATATGACCAGAAATTTCAAACCAAAACCTGTTTCCAGGCTAGGAGTTGGACAAAATTCACTATTGGATTGTTGAATCAGGACATTAGTTTTCTGAACATTTCCATTCTTGATAAAAAATAAATGTAAGAACCTGTAGCTTTATGACAAGTTGTCACATCACTATCTAATATTAAATGGGTTAAATATTAAATTTACTGAAGAGTTTAGATTTGGAATACTATCTCAAAGTTTTTTAGATAAATTTTGAAATTAATCTTTTAGTAAGTCATTTTTAATACAGCCTCTTGCAATAAACTAATGTAGTAGATGTTGTTGGACTACATCACTTATTATCCCTGGTTATAGGCCATGATGGCAGAGATTGATGACCACTGTGGTCCAAAGAATATTGAAGGAAGCAGGTTACTCATGCCTGAAATCAGGAATTCTTTGATGCTATTACTTAAAGAAACCAATTGGCTAGAACTGATGGCATTGTTTCAAAATATTTCTTGGGTAGTACAAAACTATGGTAATGGTTACACTGAAGAACAGTTACAAGAAGTAGCACATTGCCTTCTAGTGAAAGGAAAGTATGCAGTAGAAATATATTCTTTATCTGAAAGAAGGGAACTACCTAAATTTTGTAACAAAGCAAAATAATTGTCCAGTCTTTTCATACTGTTGACAAAGTATAAATTTCCATTAAATTTTGAAAATTTAATTTATCTCTGCTGATTCTGGAAAAGTGAGCTAGTCTGTGTGTCTACACCAAGGTAACAGGGAATTTGCTAGCAAAATGATGGTCAGTATCTTATTGCAGAGTGGGACGTGGTGGCGCTGTGGGCTAAACCGCAGAAGCCTGTGCTGCAGGGTCAGAAGACCAAGCAGTCGTAAGATCGAATCCACGCGACGGAGTGAGGACCCGTTGCTTGTCCCAGCTCCCGCCAACCTAGCGGTTCGAAAGCATGCAAATGCGAGTAGATAAATAGGTACCATCTCGGTGGGAAGGTAAACAGCGTTCCGTGTCTAAATCACACTGGCCATGTGACCACGGAAAGATTGTCTTCGGACAAACGCTGGCTCTATGGCTTGAAGAGCGGGATGAGCGCCGCCCCCTAGGGTCGGACACGACTGGACAAAAATTGTCAAGGGGAACCTTTACCTTTACCTTTATCTTATTGCAGACATCCTGGAGAGTGAAGTCAAGTGGGCCTTAGAAAGCATGGCTAACAACAACGCCAATGGAAGTGGTGGCATTCCAGTGGAACTATTTAAAATCTTAAAAGATGATGCTGTTAAGGTGCTACACTCAATATGCTAGCAAGTTTGGAAAACTCAGCAGTGGCCAGAGGATTGGAAAAGATCAGTCTACATCCCAGTCCTAAAGAAGGGCAGTGCCAAAGAATGCTCCAACTACCGTACAATTGCACTCATTTCACATGCTAGCAAGGTGATGCTCAAAATCCTCCAAGGTAGGCTTCAGCAGTATGTGGATCGAGAACTCCCAGAAGTACAAGCTGGATTTCGAAGGGACAGAGGAACTAGAGACCAAATTGCTAGCATGTGCTGGATTATGGAGAAAGCCAGAGAGTTCCAGAAAAACATCTACTTCTGCTTCATTGACTACACAAAAACCTTTGACTGTGTGGACCACAACAAAATATGGCAACAACAACCTCCGATATGCAGATGATACCACTCTGATGGCAGAAAGTGAGGAGGAATTAAAGAACCACTTAATGAGGGTGAAAGAGGAGAACACAAAAATGGTCTGAAGCTCATAAAAAAATTAAGATCATGGACACTGGTCCCATCACTTCCTAGCAAATAGAAGGGGAAGATATGGAGGCAGTGACAGATTTGACTTTCTTGGGCTCCTTTATGATGGCAGATGGAGACAGCAGCCACAAAATTAAAAGACTCCTGCTTTTTGGGAGGAAAGTGATGACAAACCTTGACAGCATCTTAAAAAGCAGAGACATCACCTTGTTGACAAAGGTCTGCATCATCAAAGCTATGTTTTTTCCAATAGTGATGTATGGAAGTGAGAGCTGGACCATAAAGAAGGCTGACTGCCAAAGAATTGATGCTTTTAAATTGTGGTGATGGAGGATACTCTTGAGAGTCCCCTGGACTGCAAAGATAACAAACCTATCTATTCTACAGCAAATCAACCCTGAGCACTCACTCAAAGGACAGATCCTGAAGCTGAGGCTCCAATACTTTGGCCATCTCATGAGAAGAGAAGACTCCCTGGAAAAGACACGGATGACGGGAAAGTGTG